AACCAATTCTAAAATATGTTAGTGTTCGCTTTTCTGGGGTTTTGAGGGGTTTCCTCCCAGGCAGTGCTCTAGGAGCATGGGGCTACTCCCAGTGCTGCTTTGTGCCAGGGGGCTACCGGGGCCACCCTGCCAGTGTTTGTGAACTGTTCTGTTCTTTTTCTGTTTGATTTCAGGCTATATTCAGCATTGCTTAGGGTACCATACAGTGTTGAAGATCAAACTCTGCAAAACATCCTCTCTAGTCCTTTGAGCGCTCTACCTAGCAGAAGTCTTTGTTCTTAAAAAGATCTGTCCTCAGAACAGTTAACCATAGTCTATCCTCATGGGATACTATCAGAGCCTAAATTATCTAGGAAATAGAAATAACCAACTCAAATCCTCTATAGTGATCCTACTCCACCCAAGGGAAAGGAAAAATCTGAGAAATAGTTAGACGGAAGTATAGACTAAGAGAGAATTAAAATAGTCTAAAACCAAGTAATGAAGCACACCAACAGATGAAAAATGGACAATTACACGTTCCTGTCAATAAATGGAGAAAAAGCATTTGCTAATGCACAACACTCAGTCCAATAAAAATTAAGTAAACTAGTAATAGAGAGTAACAGCCTCAGCTTAAATAAAAACAAAAAACCCTATAGCTGACACACAATGTTGAGAAAATCAACAACTTCCCCCTATTGTATGGTACAGGGACAGTGATACTGCCTCCCATGACTTCAACCTAAAGCGATGAGTCCAGAAAAGGAGGAGAAAAGCACAGAGCACAGGCCATAGGGATAGTTCAAAGGGATGGAATGCACGTGCTGCATGAGGCGGCCTGGGTTCTGACACCAGGTGTGACTCACACAGAACAAGAAGATAGAAAAGAATAAAAACAGCAGGTTAACAAAAGAATTGAGACCAGATCTGAACATCGGGTCTGCCGTTTTTAAAATTATTGTTCTCTTTTATACTATTTTAATTGCATCTATTACTTGGTAATTGCTTTAAGAGAAAATACAAAAACAAAACAAAACAAAAATCAAAAACCCCCACAAATAAAAAACCGAAGAACTGATGGAAATAATCATGGATATACAAAAGTCAGAATTTTCAGTATCAAAAATTACCAAAGTGTGTAAGAGAAAACTTACTAGAAAATGACAGGGGTCTAAAGAAATAACAGCACTTAGAGGCTGACACCCCAGCATCCCTACTGGGTATAATCTTGAAGGGCCTCCCAAGTACCTCCAAATGCGGTCTTGGTGGCCCCTCGCAGAGCAGGCCTGAGCAGCTCTGAATCCCCAAGCACTAGCATTGACCCTCCAGTCTGGGTGCCTGAGTAAAGATGGTAGGGGCCCTTCAGCACCATTTAGGAGGCCTCCGCCCCCCCATCCAACCTCCCTCCCCTCCCCACACACATTTACACAACAAATTATACTGTGGTCTTTAAAAGTACAGAGTTTTTCAGGGCTGCAGAGATAGTATAGTTGATAAGGCATTTGCCTTGCAAATGGCCAACTCGGGTTCGATCCCTAGTATCCTATATGATCTCCTGAGCTCTGCCAGAAATTAAGTCCTGAGTGTAAAGCACTCTGAGCATCAGTGGGTGTGGCCCAAAAACAAACAGAAAAAGAATTTTTTAAAAAAGTACAGATTTTTATAAAAATTGCTATATAGGCATATTACCACAAAATAACGCCCAAAATGAGCTCTGTGTAGGGATTATATCATTTATATTTTCATGTGCTTTTATATATTTTCCAAATGTGTCAAAACCTTGTTAATATTGTAAGGTAAATTTTTAAACACTCAAAAATCTCATGATGATTGTTTCTGGGCAATGGCAAAAAGGATGATTTAGCTAGATTTTTTATCATTTATTTTTGTCCATTTGTATGAAATGCTGTATGTGTAGCGAATCATTTTGATTCTCTTCTTGGACAAATATGATGATAACATCTCTCCATTTTCTCTCCACTGGACAGGGACCACATGGCATGGCTCTGGCCCACGGATATGGGGAGAATTGATGTGGGCAGGTCAGGCCTGCACATGAAAACCTCTGTAGGACCTACCACTCTAGCTCCTCTCCTATGGCAAGTTTAGACATTAAAGCAGACAATGTCTGCCTGCCACACAGGAATTATGTTGAAAATAGACAAACTCCCACTGTCTGAAGCCACTGAAATGCTAGGGTTGCTTCCAGTGGTTCATCCATCATCACTATCATCAGCAGGAAAGTAAAAGCTAAAGTGTTTCTTCCGAATTTCATGTCTTCTATACCAGCCCATCATTTACTGGATGAAGTCTTTAGGATTACATAGAAGGCCCTCCAGGATCTAGTTGCCTTCACTTAACAACCTAAAAATCTCACTGTCCCTTTTAAATTTCCCAAAGCTCCAGGACCCCATTCTTTTTTTTTCTTTTTTTATAAATTTATTTATCGAATCACCATGAGAGCAGTTACAAAGCTTTTGGGTTTAAGTCTCAGTCATACAATGATGAAAGACCCGTCCCTTCATCAGTGCCCATTCTCCACCACCAAAAATCCCAGTATATCCCCCATCCCACACCCTCCCCCTACCTGTGGGGCAGATGATTTCCACATTACTGTCTCTCTACTTTGATTTCATTATTTCAATCCCAGGCCCACCATTATTATTTGGGATTTTACCCCAACACTCAGATCTGTTGAAAAGACAACCATAGACAATTTGTTTTCTATTGCTGGTTATGAATAACATATGATGTCACGTGGCCGCAGTAGTGGCTGCAAAATTTTGGAATTCTGAAATTTTAACAATTAAATCTGGAGGGATTTCTGTCAAATCTGCTGGGTTCAGAGATTTGTTCCTGAGTCTCTGAGATCATGCCGTTAAGCAGCTAGATCAAGAGCCAGAAAGGCTGTTCATGGGTGGCAACTCGGGATCTTGTTGGGGTGGGGAGGAAAGGGCCGGCTCCATCCCCATCCCATGAGGCCCCACGTGTCTCCTCACTGTGGGCCCAACCCTGACTGTTCAGGACCCCATTCTTTCCTATTAGAGTACTCATTGCAATTGTATTGTTATTAGTTGGCCATTTGTTAGTCCCTTCCACTGGATTATTAGTGTCTACTGATTCACAAATATACTTTCTATGTTTCACTCCTTGTGCTGGCATAAACAGAATGCTGAGAAATTATTTACTGAGTGAATAGAGAATGCATTCTTAAATGTTGAGAGCCCCCAACCCCAACATACCATGAAATTGTACAGACTGGAGCAAGTCTCATTTTAACTAAGCATACTCTCTTAAAAGATGTTAAGGGCCAGAGTGATAGTACAATGGAGAGGGCATTTGTCTTGTATACATCTGAACAGGGTTCAATCCCTGGCATCCCAAACGGTCCACCCACTGAGCCCTATAAGGAGTAATTTTTGATTAAAGAGCCAGGAGGAACCCCTAGTCACCACTAAAATCAAAATCAAAATAAAGAGTTAAATAAAAAATTCAAAAAAAATTTAAAAAGTATAAAACCATTTCTGACCTTATAAATTCATAACTAATTTTTTGTCTTAGGAGTTTACATCAAAATTGCTGTTATTTAAATGGTGGCAGATTTAGAATTATTTTAAATAGGAAAGAATTTTAGAAATATAAAAATCACTGCCATAATTCAAAATGTTCCATTTGTGGAACAGAGATTCTCAGAAAAACAATCTGTATTTTATGTTCCTTGGAAACTCTAAGTTTAATAATAGCCCTTCCATTAAATATGAAGTACTATTTTTAAACATTTAAGATTGTCTTATATGTTACCTTCCACATAAAAGAGTGCAGTTACTTAAAAAGTTTTTCTAACTTAAAAAATTGCAGTTTGGGGGCTGAAGCGATAGCACAGCAGGTAGGGCATTTATTTGCCTTACACCCGTCTGACCTGGGTTTGATTCCCAGCATCCCATATGGTCCCCTGAGCACCGCCAGGAGTAATTCCTGAGTGCAGAGACAGGAGTAACCCCTGTGCATCGCCAGGTGTGACGCCCCCCCGCCCAAACTGCAGTTTTAACGATGGCCACTCAATACCTCTATTACAAATTACAACACCCTAAAGGAAAGAGTGAGCAAAAAGGAATGCCCTGCCACAGAGGCGGGGTGGGATAGGGGTGGGGGGTGGGAGGGCTACTGGGATCATTGGTAGTGGAGAATGGGCACTGGTGGAAGGATGGGTACTTGATCATTGTATAACTGAAACCCAAGCACAAAAGTTTGTAAGTCTACAACTGTAGTTCATGGTGTTTCACTAAAAAAAAAAAAAAAAAAAGTGAACCCTGAGTGCAGAAACGGGAACCCTGCTGGCTGTGACCTCAATCAAAACAATAAATAAATAAATATAAGTAACGAAACAAAAAAAAATTGCAGTTTTACCCATGGAATCTAGAGAACTGGTTTTCTAATTTTCTTCCTTAACAAGGATATCTTAAGATACAAAGAACCAAATTACTCTTTGGTTTTATTATACTGGAAAAACAACACACAGTCCTTTAGTCAAACAACTTTGTGATATTTATATTCCATTGCACAGATATGGTTATACAAATTAGTAACACAAGTTTTTTCTTAAATTCCAAACATTTTCTAAAATATTACAGTAGATGCCTAGAATATTAAAACATCAAGATGGAAATCATACTCTAAATAGATTAATAAGACGCTGAAAATACTGCACATTTTAATTTGAAGAGAATTAAAATGTGTGCTCAAGAATTAAAATGTGTTGTCAAACTAAGCAACTAGAAAGCTAACAACTACAAATAAGTCATGTGATCCACCTTTATGTATGCATATATATATGATTATTCTTCAGATAATCCCTCCTCTTAAAAATGTGTAAGTAAAATACAAATATGGATAGATGACTTAAAGAAATTTAAATTCTTCCTAGTACCTAAGATCTAGGTTGAAGTGTACTATTAATCTATGACTTCATAGAGCTACGAATTCAAAGATAAAAGACACCACACTTGGAAAGAAGAAAAGATTTTTAAAAGGTAAATGGTTTTAATTGAATTAATGAGATGAAAAGATAGTAAAGCCTGTTTTGCTACTTACATGGAAGAAGATTTTAAAAAATAATCACTGCACAAAATACAAAGGGTGGGGTTATGCTGTGGTTTACATTTTTTCTTCATAATGTGTGTCTTGAGTCTTCACTGACAAATCAGAGTTTCCACAGCAAACTTGTTTTCAAAATGCCGAATGGTAAAACAGTTCCCAGCTTCACGTTTCTGAATACCTGTTTTGGAAGGGGAAATTTTTAATTCTTGGTTCTTGATAATAAATATTCACATTTCCTCAGTTACTCTTAGACACACAGAAATACTTTACTCAAAACTCCATGACCTTGTACAGATTAATTTTAACAACAGCGAAAATAGTTTTTTTGTTTTTTTTTAAAACTAACGCAAGGGTCTGGAGATTTAGCACATGCTTAGGGTGCTTGCTTGAGACACGTCAGACCCAGCTTCGATCCCTGACACCTCATGTGGTCCTCTATGTCCTGCCAAGAGTGATCCCTGAGCACAGCTGGCTATGGCCAAACCACCACCCACCCTGAATGCAAAAATACAAGCAAACAAACAAACAAAAAAAAAACCCAAACAACTATCGTAACTAAGATCCTCAAGGGCTGGAAATATTCTTTCTCTATCTTAACTTTGGTGATTTGTTGGAACTCAGAACTACACATAAGAAAGCAAATATTTCATTACAGACATATTTCTTCAGACTAAAATAATTATTACAAATTACAAAGATCTTGAAGGGAAATGGTGAGATTTCTTTCCTTTTTCTTCCTCTTTTTTGTAAATAACAACATTCTTATTTTTCAGTTGGGATAGAAAAGATTAAATGATTTTGCAAAGTGACACAAGTTGTGTTAATGCCTTTATTTTTTAGGTTTTTGTCTCAGGGCTCACTGTACTATCTCTCACTGTACTATCTCACTGTACTATCTCTCTAGTTGTGTTAATGCTTTTAATTCTCAGACAAACTTTTCTAAAACTAAGGTGACATATTATCTATAACACGATCCATTAGAGAAAGTATACTAAGAATCTACATCCCTGGACATATACCCACACATCTGTTCCCTTGTAAGAACCCTTCTGGCTAGGAATCCTTGTATGGCTGAGACAACCACGAAAGTGGTATAATGAAAAGTACTCTGATTATATGGGAAGAAAGTTTACAGGACCCCCATGCATTGACATTGCACATTTAGCTAATCTATTTGAAAAAGAAGAGAATTAAGATGATTCTTCAGAAATCTAAGAATATCATATACTGATACAAAGTAATTTTAGTTCGTCATGGCAAGCATATTGTTAAAAAGTGCCAGTTTTCATCTAAATCTATCTTAACACAATGAAGAAAGAAAAAAAAAGCCAGATTTTTGTCAATACTTAAACACTGGAAAGAATTACCTCTGATGGTTTCTCTGCGTTGCAGTTTGTAAGTTTCCTTGTCGTGGCACAGTCGATATATGAAGACACCCAGATGATCAACGTTTTCAATGCGATCAGTGATAACCATGTGCTCGTGAATCAGGTATGACTGTGGCAAATAGGTTCCAGCCTATAGTTGGGAGAGTACATTACATGAATAACTGATCATACAATAAGCAGAGGAGGGAAATAGGCAAGATTCTTAGGGATTAGAGAATGGAACAGAAATTGGCAAATTATTACCCATCTTCTTTTATAAAAAAAAAGTCATAATAATTTAATTCTACAATGCCAATTCATTAGAATTGAATAGCTCTTATAATAGATCTTATTTCCTAAAAGCCTATTATCTTTTCTCTGATCCTTTAGAAATATATGTAATTGAAGAAAGTATATTTTAATTTCCAAATATAAAATATTAAAATAAGATAAAAAAGACATACAAGTTTTGGTCTTAGCTCTGTAATTTTTAGTTACATTTCAAGTAAGATGGAAATTACTATAAGGCTAATTTCTCAAAAAAAATTCCATGATGCTACCTATACAAATGTCACTAATTAGAATATTACTTTTTCTTATACCTTTATGTTAATAAGTAACTCCAGGAGGTTTTTGGGAGGCATAACAATGGAAGTGTTCAGAGGAATCACATAGCATTTATCCAGGTTGAGATCTAAGTAGGCTGTGAGTTTCTGGGGAAAAAAAATGAGTAGGATTAATATTTATAATACAGGCAGCAACTAAACTCTAAAGAAAAATTTGTACCATTTAGATGAATTGATTTTAGAATGTGTAAATCACTTGCATTTCAACAAATGAAGAATTTTAGTCTGGAGCAATAAGACATCGGGTAAGACACTTGGTTTTGCACACATCCGACCCAGGTTCAATCCCTGGCATCCCATATGGTCCCCTAAACCCACCAGGAGTGATTATTGAGTACAGAGCCAGGAGTAAGTCCTGAGCATCACTCGGTGTGACCCAAACCCAAAACCAACAACATTACAAAACTTGGCAGGATAAGGAGAAAAGTAGTAATGTGGGAGGGAAAAATACTGTTACCAGTAATAAAATACTCACCAGGGATTTGTTTTTTACTATATATATTTATCAGGCATGGTATATTTTAGAAAGCTAATTTCTGAGACAGAGCTGAATGTTCGGAATGGAAAATTATACACAGCTGCCAAATTCACTGGTCAGATGTGAACTCTTAAATCTTGGGATCCTATAGTTTGAAAATACCAAACATTCTTGGTATAAAAATTACTGGAAAAAAATTACTGAGGGAAAAAAATTACTGAGGGAATTAAATATCAATTCTATATTATTATGATATTTCCCCAGCTTTTTCTTTCTCTCTCCCTCTCCCCTTCCCACTCTCCTTCTCCTGGGACTGAACCCAAGGCCTCATAGATATCAAATATAGTCTCTATCATTGAGCAACTTGGTGCATGTGAATTTTCTTACAAATGTTATGTGTGAAAAAAGTTCTTATTCTTCAGAGTTAACAGCCTAAGTACCCAGGGGTGAAAAAAGTTCTTAATTTTCGCGTTAACACCCTAACTATCCAGGGGTGAACTGCCAAATGTGAAGAAAAAAAAAATGGCAATTTACCAGCAAAGGAGGAACAGTCAGAAACGGGGCCTTGAAACAGAGCAAGGGAGGAACGTTAAGATGGAAGGAGGCCAGTGTCACTACAAGTGGGCTTCAGGTAGGGGACCCATCAAATACTGAAATTAACTATACAAGGGTGTGTGTGTGTGTGTGTGTGTGTGTGTGTGTGTGTGTAAACAAAACCAAAAAACCCTACGAAAGCACTCGCAGTCTTTCCCAGCCCGGGACACGGCTCACCTTGTTGAAGTCGTGAACAATGTTGGCAGGGTCACTGTCTGCAAACTCAGGTACAGGCACACTGATGAGCTCAACCTCTTCTTCCTCAAAGATCTTAATGTTCTCCTCAATGGTCTGGTAGCGAGCTGCGGGGGCATCTGCAGAAGGCTCGCTTAGGAGGTCATCTTTGATGTACTTTATTCCACAGTAGTACACGTCATCTGGCTGCAGAGTTTAAATAACTATTTCAGCAATTCAGTGGGAGACAGTTTTTTTTTTTCTTTAAATGTAAGCATTACTTAACCTGCCACCTCATACCTAGAGAGCATTTTGCTTGCAAACTCTTACTTTTAGATGATAAGTCAGACAGTTTAATTGCATGGTTAAACACATTCTTTACGATAGGATTTTGAAGTACTCTTTTAAAAAAAAGGAAAGCTCAGAAGGATAGCTCCAGAAGAAAAGCAGATGACTTTCCCTTTACTGTTTGTGGTCAACAAACATCGAATATAAAAACAATTCTGGTAGTAGGTAAATGTGGAAAAAACACAAGCCTGCATCTATTTGTAGACACTATTTTGAGAGATACTTTTCTCTGAAAACTTTTGGTAAGATTCACTCATTAAGTGGTTTTTCTCTTATTAACTAACCCCCCTCACCACCACCCCCCCAAAAACACACACACACAAAAACCCTCATTCTTCTCAAATATCCCCAGGCATATGGGCAGTTCAGATTTTTCATTAAAATATAACACAACTGAGCTGGAGAGATAGTACAGCATGAAGGGTGGCTGCCTGCATTTGTCCTCAGTCATTGTGGGTTCAATCCCCTACACCCCATCTGGTCCCCAGAACACCATCAGGAGAGATCCCTGAACACAGCTGAGTATGCCTTCTTACCCCACAAAAAATCACCACAATTTAGCGGGAAAAATAGCAGATTACAGTTAATCACATAAAACACTGTTTTAAAAGTGTATCCATGTATATTTTAGGGGCTGGTAATGTGGATCCGTGGTAGAGTATTTGCCATGTATGTGTGAGGCTCCAGGATGAATTCCTGGCATTGCTTAATTAAAAAAAAAAAAAAGACAAATCCTTATAAGGGGCTGGAGGAAGAGCTCACTCAGAATGTATCTTGCAAGTATAAGGCTGTGAGTTCAGTCCTTGATGCTGCTGCAGACTTGTAGCATGGCCCCAGCAGTTTTGCCACCACCTGTGCTTCTCAGAGCTTTCCTTTATTTAAAAAGTATCTAATTTTTAAAAACTACACAACTGTCACAGAATATATATATATATATGTATACACACACACACACAAAATATGGAAAAAGCATTAAACCAACAGTATCTATAGACAAACTATAAATAATTTTTCCATGGAGCAATGAAATTACAAAAATTATATTTAAGAAAGAAGACCAGGGCTTGTGAGACAGTACAGGGGTTAAGGCATTACATTCCTAGATAAGTTCCACTGAACATCACTGTGTGTTGTTGGGAATCCCTACCAGAACCAAAAGAACCAGGTGGTAAAGCATTCTTGAGCCCTTCTGAACTTCTAGCCTGGGTAGCAAGAACTGACATGCAGTTGCTTTTCGTCCTTCTGAGCATCATTTGGGAGTTGCCATATAATGAGGGCAGGGAGATAGCTCAAAGGGAATAGCGTGAATGCTTTGCATGTGGGGAGGTCTAGGTCTGATCCTCAGAATAGTAAGGTGCCCTGAACACCTCTGGGAAAGATCCTGAGCAGAGCTCCAGGAATGATCCCTGAGCATAGGCAGATAGGGGCCAACTCCAATAAAAAGATGACAAGTTGACAGTATTGTAGGAATGTTTCAATCAACAGGCTAAGCACATGCTCTACAGGAGGGAGACCTGGGCTCAATCACCAGTACTGCATATGGTACCCAAGCACCATTGGATAGGGCCCAAAACAAAACCAAATAAACAAACAAACATAACAACAACAACAACAAAAACTCAAGCCATTCCCTGATCTCAAAATCTACAAAAAAAAAAAAAAAGCAGTGCATGCATCCTCTGGGAAAACATTTCATTATTTTAATGACATCAAATTGTCAAAGATTTTTCTAAATTTAGAATTCTAAATTTTTCTAAATTTTCTAAATTTTTCTAAATTTAGAATTTAGGTTCTCCAAAAGAGAACCCTGCCGAATTATTCCAAGAGAAAGATATCAGAAATAAACTGGTTATACCCAGGATTATAATAACAAGAAAATGATTTTCCAATCCACATAAAGAAAAAGCAAACAAGTCCTTGGCATGGTGCAACTTACTTGAAGTGCAAAATACTTGTAAAGGTATGCTCCTCCAAGAATGACACCTGCAAGCATAAAAGCCAGTCCAAAGCACATGCACCAACACCAGGCTCTTCTCTGGCCCACTGGTACCACTTCATCTGGATCCTAGAAAAGAGAAACAGACGGATGGTCAAAATCATACCCAGAGTCAGAAATCAGAGAAAGGGCAGGAAGGAAACGGACTGTGGGGATTATCAGTTTAAAAACAGTTTAAAAAGACCAGAAGTTCCTAGTCAACATCATGCAGCAATGACTAAGTTGTAGGCCAGGTCTCACAAGTATGGCTCCTGATTGGAGACATCAATTCTCTGGGAAAGTTCAGCCTTCTTTCAACATCCCACCTATACCCTTCTCTCTATAGAGTAATAACATGTTCCATCATTTCTATTGTGTATGAAGTGCAATTCATACATTTTATTCATTCATCTGATGACTAAAATACCTCCTAATATTAAAAAACTTTAGAGGAGGTTACAAAACAACTTAGCCATGCAATATTATGATGCTGACTCTGCGTATAAAATTTCAAGTATAATTCATGAAATTGTAGCTGCACGCTATATATAGTTAGTATTCCATACCAGCCATAAGGTCATTAGTATAACAAAAAGTAAGGGAAAAGAAGGAAGAGAACAAATAGGACACAAATTCTTTAAAATCTTAAAAAAAAAAAAAGGACAAATAAAAAAACATAAATAATTCTCCATATTTATCTCCCCCTATCTTGAACAATCCAAATTTGGCAATGATCTTAATGTTTAAAGCAGAAGAGTGGAAAAATGATTCAATAAGCGAAATTAAAATAAAGATACATATAACTAAAATACAATTGTTAGGATTTTAATTCAAGGAACTAACAGCAACTTAGCATCTGTGGCCGTGATACTCACACCCTCACTTATTCCCATAGCCCTTTTAAAATTTGTTTGTAACCAGTTTCTACAGCAAAGAGCTGACAAAGATTAACAGCTGGTTATGTAACTAGTCACTCAAGAAAGGGCACAGACAGCAAAACAAAGGCTCCGTTTGACTTAAAACCACGTAATAAAAGACATGCTAGTTAGTGGTATGCATGTACAGCCTCTAAATACATAACTCTCCTTACTTGGAAAACTCAATATGGGGTGGCTTACTGTTTGAAATAAAAACTGTATAAACAAGTCTGGATATGACTGAAGCAAGACTTCAGATAGGAAAGAATGAAAGCTGAGGCTATATATTTTCAATTCTAAAATGGGGAGAGTTTAGCTTGATATTATTAGAGACCAATCTAATCTCAGATGTTCAGCCAACCAAGAACAATTTAAAGTTAGATACCATGTGCCTATGTTGAGGTTTGATGTTTTAAATGTAGAATTAATACAATGGAACAAATGTCATTCAATCAAAGGACAGAATCAAAGGCCATGAGTGCAAAGTAGCAGACAGGTCTGCCAATGTAATGTATGTATGCTTAGGCAAGTACATTATAAGTAGTGTGTAATAAGTCTAAAGGAATTTATCAAGTCACATAAGATATTCTAACTATAAAGAGAAGGTTAAAAGAATTATAAGGAATCTTCATCTGGGGGATATAAAGTAACAAAGTATGAGATTAATACCCAAGAATAGCTGAGATCAGCACCAGGAGGATTACTCCATAACTTAGAGGCCAGCCGGGTATCCTAGAGGAAAGGGCTGTTCAGATAGAGAAGGGAGCACCAAATAAAGGATGTTTGGAGGATCCTCCCAGGAGGGGAGATGCATGTCGAAAGTAGACTATGGACTGAACATGTTTGCCACTCAATGCCTCTTTTGCAGACCACAACACCCAAAAGGAGAGAGAGAACACAGGGGATTGCCCTGCCACAGAGACAGGGGGGATGGGGGGATGGGGGTGGGAGGGATATTATCCATGGTGGTGGAAAATGGGCACTGGTGGAGGGATGGGTATCTGATCATTGTATAATTGAAACCAAAGCACAAAAAATTGTAAATCTACAACTTTAAAAAAAATAAAATAAAATAAAGGGAAAAAAAAAAGAATTATAAGGAATCTTAAGGCATCATGAAAACAGAAAAATTATAGAGTATTTTTCTTCAGTTCTTGACTGATATAAATATCTAAGGTGATAAATAATTCCTAGCATAATTAATTTTAGAGTGGAGGCAGGGTAAGGGGATAAAAATGACAGATGAAAATAGTCATTTCTAAACATTTGGCATCAGATGCTGACAGTCAAATGTGCGCACAACACCCACTCTGTTTGGCAGACTCTCTTCTTTAGTGGAATATAAATGAATTGCCAAAGAGCATAGGCAGTTACTCTGTAAAGGAACACACAGCACCAACTGTCAAACTGATATCAAGTTTCCAGGCCTTCTGATATGTCATATTTTACTGTTGAACAAACAGTAATCCAAGAATAAGTTATAAATGCATTATCACAGGTCCAGAGCTGAGCTAGGCAGCAAGGCTGTATATATGTAAAAGATTTATATTTATAAAATGTATAGCCTTCTAAGAAAGAGTTCATTTGGATCACGCTAGGAACTAAACACACAAGGTGAACATAACTGGAACACAAGAGTGAAATGTTCAAGAGCAAAGTCATTACCCACACAGATCAGAGAAGGCATTACAAAGGGCAAACACAAAGGAAAATCAAGAAACCTGAATGCTTGATCTCAGGACCACATGTGGTGTGACTTTAGGAGTCCAACAAAATGGCAGGTACCACAACACACGAAAATGGTGAGGAAGAAACTGGAGCAGATCACAAAGGATCTATGTATATCCTGCTATAAAGTCTGAGTTTTTGTTTCACTCAAAAAATCTTAATTCAGGACTATGTCAATAGAATTGAGCAATTTAAATTTCTAAAAAAAATTAACTTACAAAATAATTCCATCATTTACAGCTAATTTTTCAGTCCCTCAACAATGTAACCACAATTTAAAAACCAGGAAATGGTCCTCGAATCAAGAGATTTTAGACCCAAAGTCTATGTGTCAGCCACATATTTCATAAAAACACTTATGAGGTCTTCATAGTATATCCATCTTTTTGTATGGTCAGTATTTCCAGTGACTACTTTCTAACCTTGTGTTAGAATAACTCATAGATAGATAATACATAATCTCTCTCTATAATAGGCTTTAAAATTCTAATGTGTATCCAGTCTCATTTATTTTGCATTATATATTAGCTCCCAGCCAAATTCGGTTCGCACTCAACAAATATTTAACAAGTGAATAAATATCGATATCACCATGAAATCACATCAGCAGCAAACATGATAATGGAGGGGGATGATGGTAAGGGCAACATAAGAATTCATGAAAAGACTGGTTATTTTGGAAAAAAGAAAGAGAAAGCAAATAGCATCCCTAAATACCTAGCTCAATCAACATTTATTAAGGGTCTGTTATTTGCAAGAGTGTACTAGATTCTATGGAAAATTTATATGTGATTAATACATGGATTATGACTTAAGCAATTGACAGTAACAATTAGTCCTGTACATGACAAATTCCCTATTAAAGTCTAAGTCCTGGAGATGACATTATACTGAGAGAAAAGATTTTAATCTAAAGGCTTAATAAAGTGTTTTTAAATGACTGAATTTTAACATTTGAAAGAAGAAGCTTTAAAAAACTCAAATATAAGATTCAAGATGAGAAAAACCTATGGCTCTTTCATAATATTTTAAAAAACTGCCATTTATAATAAAAATTCTTTGTTAGCAATTAGAGGTGAAATTCTTTCACATGAATAAATCATTCATTTTTTTAATCATTAGATTAAAAAATTTAAAAAGTAAAGCTATATAATCTCATACTAAGTAGTGAAACTTTCAGACTGAACTTTAAACTTTAAAACTTAAACCCATAACTTAAACCCATATTCTCTTCAAGTGAGGCATATGATGAATGTTCACTAAAATGTACTGTTTCCAGATAGCACTACATTAGAAACCTAGCCAGTACACAAATAATAAAAAGAAAAACAAAAATAATATAAGGATTAGAAAGAGAAATGCAAAACCCTCACTACAAGTAAAGAGTTGTATAAACAGAAAATTTGAGAAAGTCAAATAATCCCTACCTGGATTCAGTAAGATCGCTTTAAAATAAAAAAAATCAATGGAGTCAAAGATTTGTACACAAATATTCAAAGACTATATTATTTATAATTGTCCCAAACCAGAAACACCCCAAATAATCATTAAAATGATGACTGAATAAGTTGTGATTTCATACAAATCTCAAGAACAGGCTCGTGAAATAAGTTTGAAAAGAAAGGCTACTTATAGGGGCCAGAGAGGTAACACAGACACTTGCCTTGCATGCAGTCGACACAGGTTCAATCCTTGGTATCCCTTATTGTCCCCCAAGCCCTACCAGGAGTAGGCCCTGAGCACTGCCGGGTATGGCCCCCAAACAGAACAACAACAAAAACATACAAGAAGGCAAGGAAGATGACTTGAAGCATTGAACTGCATGCTTTGTATCTGGGAGTAACAAGGTTCAATCTCTGGCATCACATGGTCTCCAGAATAACCTTGGGAGTGATAAGAGCACTGATCTAGGAGTACCCCCACCACCACAGGTTGTGGCCCAAACCCCAAACAACAAAAATCACAAAACAGCACTATAGGTTCTATCATTTTCTTCAGAAACAGGTTTAGACCATTACATAATTAAAGAACAGCAACAAAGTCAATAAAAGGAAAATCACTCCTGACATTCAACACTGGGATATAAAACTTTTACTTGACCTAATTTAAAATAAGTCACTGAGACATTTTCTCCCCTATACAGCAAAAAAGAAAAGAAAAGGAAAAAAAATCCAAAAAACTGGTACATCTTAAATTACACAGATATGGCAAAAGAACTCCCACAGGTACTGTACAATTATTATCTCATTAATGTTCTAAAACCTTAAGTCTTTACCCCAGTTTATAAATAAAGACACAAAAGCCCACAATTAACTACTGAACAATATAGAAAGTCAGCTTTTAAAAGCATTCTCACTCTTGAGCTATATTAATTCCTGATTCAAATAAATCTTTTAAGATGAGGCAGAATTATTTAACCAATTACATATATAGCAAAATTAACGA